ACCCATTTGGGTGAGGGCATATCTTCATTACTCAGTGCACTGATTCAAATGTCAATCTCTTCTGGGAACAGTCTCATAGACATATCCAGAAATAAGGGACACCCAGAAAGCTGGTAAAACATTAACCCAGTCAAGTTGACACCTAAAATTAACCATCACATAGTGTTTCTCTCCAATGTGTATTATCACATGTACAGTAAAATGTGAAAAACAAATGATTTGTCATATTTTTGACAATCATACGGGCCTCTCTCCAGTGTTTGTACTCACATGATTATTAAAGGAGGAGGGTAAACTGTAGACTTATCTACATTCCTTACATGTATAGGGCTCCTTTCTATTTTTTCTCACTTGCAGAGTAAGTTTTGAGGAGTAAGTGAAGGCTTTCCCACATTGCTTATATTCATAAGTTTTCTCTCCAATTTGAGTTCTTATATATACGGTAAGGAATGTGGAAGAAATAAAGGCTTTTCACACCCTTTTGTACTCATAGGGTATTCTTCCATTATGAGTTCTCACATGTGCCTAAAGGATGAGGGGCAATTGAAGGTTTTTCCACATTTTTTACATTCATAGGATTTATATCCAGTGAATTTTTACATGTTTTCTAACAGATCAAAGAAAATGGAAGTCTATTTCACATTTCTTATATTCATAAGGCTTATCTCCACTGTGAGTTCTTACATGTATAGCAATGAATAAAGAATGAAAAAAGGCTTTCTTACATTTTACATATTCATAGTATTCTTCCCCAGTGTGAAATTCACCAGAGTTCTAGGATACAAGGAACATATGTAGGGTGCTGTACATTCCCTACATTGATAGGGTTTGTGTCCAGCATGTGATCTCACATTTGTCATAACCACTGCATGATCAATGAAGTCTTTCTCACACTCAATGAATTTATATGCTTTCTTTCCAGCATGAGTTCTCTAGCACACATTTAGATTTGAAATCTGGCTGAAGGTTTTCCACATTGATCATCCTCATTATATTTCTATCCAATTTGGAATATCTTCTGCACATTAGGTATGAAGGTCTTTTTGAGAGATTTTAAAATTTGATTATATTCATAGAGGTCCTATACCATATGAATTCTCAAATATCTCTCCTGTGTCTTGTGCTGATCTTCTGTGCCATGGCAGAAAGGATGAGGATTATACAATTGGAAGTATTTTATTACATTGTGAGTTAAGTAGTATAATACTAATTTAAGATAGATTATGATGAGAAAAGGCTATGTATTGTTATCTGTAGAAGAAATACTCCCATAAAGTTATAGCCAGAAAGCCAATTGAGTGTATAAAATGGAATAAAAAAAAAAACCAAAACAAATTTAAAAAACCAAATTTAAGCCAAAAGAAAATAGAAAATGAGAAAAAAGGAATAAAAACAGAAGGTATACGATAGACACAATCATATAAATACATTACACGTAAATGGAATGAGCTCTCCAACTAAAAGGCAGAAATGGTAACGCTGTGTATTACTCTGTTTCTGTTGCTTATAACAAAATACCTGGGACTAGGTAATTTATAAGGGAACTATTTATTGCTTACAGTTTCAGAGGCTGGGAAGTCCAAAGTCCAGGGAACACATCTGGTGAGAGTCTTCTTTGGTGGTGGCTTTACAGCAACACAGGGGTCTCACATGACAGAAAATGGCAGAGTAGAGAGAGAACGAGACTCCCATGTACTCTCATTTTAAAGCCCTCAGAACAAAAGTATTATTAATCCATTCATTAAGGCATGGTCCTCAGAATCTAATCATCTCTTCAAGGCCCCATCTTTCAATTACCATAATAGGATTTCCCACCTTCAACAGTTCTAAGGGGATCAAGCTTCTAATACATAAAACTTGGGGGACACAATTAAATCCATATCACATTGGATAAAAAAGCAAGATCCAACTCTGCATAGTTTTAAAGATGCACTTTAAATATAAAGACAGACTGAAAGTAAAAAGAATGAAAAAAGATATATCATGCATACCCTAAGCATACGAATATGAGATGATGATATTAATAACAATGTAACTAGAGACTGAAAGGGACATTTCGTGATGATGAGTATAAATTTATCAAGGAGATAAGATAATCCTACCTATCTGCATATCTAGTAACAGAGCTTCAAAATATGTGAAGTTAAAGAATACTAAAACTAAAAGGAGAAATAGACAAATTCAAAATCATACTTGAAGAATTTAAAATGTTTGTCTTAGTAATTGATAAACTATGTAGAAAAAAATGTTAAGAATAAGGAGGTTCTAAACAAAATTATCACACAACTTGTTTTAGTTGATATAGAACACTATACCCAATAACTGCAGAGTATACATTACTTTCAAGTGCACATGGGAAACACAAAATAACTCATGTTAAATAATTTTTTTTTCCTTTTTTGTCTTTTTTCGTGACCGGCAACGGATCGCAACCCTCAGTGTCGCGCCCGTACCGGACCGGGACCGGCAACGGGATTGCAACCCTCAGTGTTGCGCCCGCACCTCGCTCAGCCAGTGAGCGGCCGGTCTACATGTGGGATCCAAACCCTCGGTGGGAGTGCCGCCGCAATCATACTTGAAGAATTTAAAATGTTTGTCTTAGTAATTGATAAACTATGTAGAAAAAAATGTTAAGAATAAGGAGGTTCTAAACAAAATTATCACACAACTTGTTTTAGTTGATATAGAACACTATACCCAATAACTGCAGAGTATACATTACTTTCAAGTGCACATGGGAAACACAAAATAACTCATGTTAAATAATTTTTTTTTCCTTTTTTGTCTTTTTTCGTGACCGGCAACGGATCGCAACCCTCAGTGTCGCGCCCGTACCGGACCGGGACCGGCAACGGGATTGCAACCCTCAGTGTTGCGCCCGCACCTCGCTCAGCCAGTGAACAGCCAGTCTGTATGTGGGATCCAAACCCTCGGCGGGAGCGCCACCGCGCTCCCAAGTGGCGCACTGTAGCAGTGCGCCACCGGGCCGGCCTAAATAATTTTTTAAAAAATGAATCAGTAAATTTCAAAGAACTTAAATCATACAGAGTATATTCTCAGACCAAAACAGAATTATTTTGGATATCAAAAATAGTAATATCCGGGCCGGCCCCTTGGCTCACTTGGGAGAGAGTGGTGCTGGTACCACCGAGGCCGTGGGTTCTGATCCTACATAGGGATGGCCAGTGCGCTCACTGGCTGAGCATGGTGTGGACCACACTGTGTTGTGGGTTGCGATCCCCTTACCAGTCAAAAAAAAATAGTAATATCCTTGGATATTTGGACATTAAGCAACACACTTTTAGTTAGCCCATGTGTTGAAGAAGAATGCATCAGGGAAATTATGGATAAATTCAGACTGAATGGTAGTAAAAACACAACATATCAAAAATCAAATGCAGCTTAAGTAATGTATAGAGAGGCTTACAGCTTTAATTTATATTTTATATGTTTTAATTTATATGATAAAACAAGGCTTAGAGCCAATTATCTGATCTTTCAGAGAAGCTAGAAAAAGAAGAGAAAACTAAACTCGAAGTAGGTAGAAGGAAAGAAATAAAAACATAAAGGTGGAAACCAGTGAAACAGAAAATAGAAAGTAATAAGAAAAGCAACAAAGTCAAGGGTTGGTTTGTTTTAAAATAATAATAGTATTTGAACACTTGTTCAACATCTTAGATAAAATAGACAAATTCATTTAAGAAAACACAAGTTACCAACTGACACAAAAGGAAATAGAAAATCAGAATTTCAGCATATCTATTTTAAAAATGAATTTGCAATTCAAAATTTTCTTACAAGGAAAATGGTACCAACAGATTGCTTCTGTAGTAAATTCTACTAAATACAAAAAGAAAAAATAATAAATATTTTACACAAACTCTTTCATAAAATAGAGGAGGAGGAAACAATTGCCAGCTCAATTTATGAGACCCGAAGAACCTTGAAACTAAAATTTAACAAGGGCATTACAAGAAAAAAATTGTAGACTAGTATCCATCATGAACATAGATGCAAAAAATGCTCAATGAAATTAGCAAACTGAAATCTATATAAAAGCTAATATTTTTCACACTGATGCACATCACCTGAAAGAAAAACATCTAAACAATTTGCCTGGCCAGTCATGTTCATACAGGTACTGTTCCATGCCCAGTCTGCAGGACTCCAGCTCATCAGATCTGCTTGGATATTTTTGTATTCTTCCACTGCTCCTCCTGCTATCCCATATTCAAAATGGCAAGGCACTTGCTTCAGATTTTGCTTCTCAAATTCCAGCTGTGACCACCACTGCCACCACAATGATGGTCATTTGAACTTGTAAGTTGGAAACAACAAACAACCAGGACAAGGGTAGGGCCACTGTCTCAGATGCAAATTTTAAGGGATCACACAAAGACTTAGTAATAAAGATAATTACTATTTAATGCAATATTGTAAAAAATCAAATTTACTGGAAAAATCCATGAGGAACAATATATCCAAATGTTAAATAAATACAGGAACCATCCTGCACTTGCACATATTGGCCTCACTGACCTCACCCTCATCCCAACTCTGTCAGATCCTATTGTCAATTTTATTTTTTCCTGATCCCATTGGGGAAAAAAATGACCATGTCTACTTTACAGTTCCTTCTCCTGCGCTGCTCCCACAAGGCCAAAAGGACCACCAAATTCTAGATCCAATAACACTGGGATTATTAAATTTACATAGAGAAAAACTCCTTTAGTTTTCAATAATAATCTCTCCTACAATATGTTGCTAATGGCAACTTTATTACATACATTGTGCAGTAAAGAAAAAACTATTTTAATGTGGAAAAGTCAAAAAAAGCATTGTTACCATGGTATATATCTCTGCATGCAGTACATTTCCAACATCTACTAAAGCCACCACCAGATGCACACGCATGCACAAATGCACACACATAAACACACACACAAATATATAAACACTCTGGATGTAGCTATGGAGTTTCGGAATTGTTTGAGGCATCATCATGTATCATAATAGATTTTTCTTAATATTTTGTCACTACGCTGATAACTGGAAATAAAGCTGTTTTCAAGGAATTCCAGGTCAATCTAAAAAAGACAAAAGTATTAATGCTTTAGAGATGCTTTAAATTTTACACTTTACATATAAAGTTATTTGTAAAGTAAGATAAGAAAGAAAGGGATCGTACTGACACATTGAGGTCTCTAGGCTTGCTTCAAAACACGCATTTTTGTATGTGAGAAAGTTGTTAGGAATTAATCCAAGTATGTTATTTGAAAAAGTTAAGAGAAAGATCAAATCTAAAATCACTGGTAGTGAGCTTCCTTCTTTCATCTGGTATTCAAGTTAATATTATCTTAATTAAATAAAAGAAATGGCCATGATTGCCTCTAAGTGACAGGGACTACTCCTGAGGATTGGGTGCTCATGACGACAACCTGGAGGAAATGGTATTTTATGTTCTTCAGCCCACTAACAGACATAATGAAGACTATAAGTATGGGACCAACTTCTAAAAGTGCTAGAATTCACCAGACATTTTTAAAAGCCCCAGTCAGTCGGTTAGAGTAGTGATAAAGGTGATCACTGCAGTCAGAAACATAAAGACAACAAATCCACATATTTAGGTCACTTTGCTTACTATTACACCTCTTCCTTTAACATATTACTGAGGAGGTATCTAGGTATGTGAGAAAAAAATCCACTTAAAAACATGCTAATGGCTACTGTTTTGGATAAAAGGAATGTTCTAAGCGAGACATTAAAGGAGGAATAGAAGTGACAGGCCTCCCACTTTATGGAGAAGCATCATCAACTGCTACCTTTCCAGATAAGTCTTATTTGGCCCCTCTAAGCGTCAGTTCTCTTGCGCGAGCTCAGCAGTTAACAGAAGTTCAGCATGAGTTACTAATGTTACCTAGGACCATTACACAAACACTTGAATGTTTAAAGTAATTGAGCTACCATCTGTTGCCCTGACTGTAAAGTGAAAGTTCTTTAATTTTTGTGGACACCTGAAAATATGAAAGAGAATATTCACAAGAAATATGAAAGAATGATTAACTAATTTCCTTAACTTCAAATCATTGGTGTTGATGAATACTGACACATGCAGACATTTATTTGCATCCCTTTATTATGGGGAGAACATATATCTCCTACCCCCATTACAATAATGTGAAACAAATGGAAACAGTCATGTTATTAAACAAACAAACAAAACCTTTCTACTTCTTTCCCCCAATTTAGAGCTGATATAAGCCCGCCAGGATTTCTCAACTTGGGACTAGAAAAGGTATGAGTCAGTTTATAGTAATAAAAAAGAACTTTTAGGCTCTTGAAATATAAGAGGTCATTTTTCCCCATGTGGAGGAAGCTGGTCTTCAGTGAAACATGATAAAACTGGCAGGTAGAAAAAAGCAAAGAATAGATAGGATAGAGAAAATGGTTTTTCCAAGTACTTTATTCTGACTGTTTTTAGGGCCTTACTCTTCACTCAATTTTCATTTCCAAAGATATCTTAAATTACATTATATATCCCCAATATCCTCTCAATTAGTTGTTCTTTCTTGCACTAGTTTAAGTTGGGTTTCTGTTGATTACAACTAAGAAAATTTAGACTAACACAGAGTATTAAGTTTGCAAAGGATCTTTCTGGTTAGTACATTTTCTGTTACCATGAAGTATAAATTTCTAAAAGTCATATTTAAAGCAGAATATAAAGAGATATGCAGAAGACTGTATGGTTTTCAAACAGGATTCTGAATGTTGAAAGCAATAGTGACAATTCAAGAAGCAATATTTGGGGACAGGCTAGTTGAGTGACACAAGGTTTTTTCAAGAAGTATGCTCAGGAATGTCTTTAAACTCTGTTTTTTTGGTCTGCCAAAATTAGGTATGTCAGACTTCCCTCAGATAGGTCCGACTTTTAACAGTTGTCAGAGAGAAATTTCCAGTCAAAAAGAGACAGAGTTTGGTCAAAGGGTTTCATATGTCTTTTTATCTCATGTCAAGTATAATATCCAAACAATGTTGGGGTATTTCCAGAATTATTTGAGCATTTTTAATCATTTCAACATCTCTTGTTCTTGACCTGCTCATTCACATTTGAGAGCATGTGACACAAGAGGGTGCCCATAGCCTTTGGTAAAACTTCCACAGTAATTTACAGGCTATTGACACAGCAATGGAGACAACATTCTGATTTTGTGGTTACATTTCCCAGCACAAAGGTTGTAGGGTTTTGCCCAGATTCAATTTCTGTACATGGAGTATGCCTGTGAGGCTTCTATCAAAGTTAAATTTTCATTAACCATCACCAAAGTGAACTCTCATTGAACGTTACTTTTTTGTTTGAGGAAAGACACAGTCACTTCCTAAATATCTTGGGAATACATACATAAAAAGAATTTCCTATATTAGTGCTTATTAGTTCCTCTATTAGTTGATTTTACAAGAAAGGGATCCGTTTTTGCAGGAATAGGCATTGGGTTAACAAAAGTATTCTCCTTTGTTCTTTTGTGAAGAAAATACATCATTACTGAGTGCACATCCAGGATTTATGAAAACTATTAGGGGATTATCCTGAAGATAACTCCTAACATTCCATCATGACTTCATAACATCACAGACAGACCACTGCTAACATAATCAAACTTCCATCTTTTAAGAAAATCTTTTCTCAAAATCCAGCAAAAACCTAAGTGTGATCATTTTATGTACATTTAAATAGTATTATTGGCTATTTTTCTAGAATAATTTCCATGTTTATAGTAATAGAACTAAAATAAAAGTACTACGGTGATATTAATAGTGGTTTGGATGATAGTAAAGAGATACTGCATCTTCTTTTCATTATACCAAAAATACAGCTAATGGGATTCTCAGGAAACTATTTCTCTCATCTAAAAGCACTTGTGGAAAGAATTCAAGAATTCGAGTTATCCTCCACTTTCCAATAATTAGAAAATAAGTTTCCTCCCACCTTCTAAATCCTGTCGTGTGATCACAAATACCTGTATATTCCAAACTCCATTTGGGAAGAAAATAAAGGCAAGGAAGGGAAATAAAGAAAAAGTGTCAATGGCCTTATATTAATATCATAAAAGGCAAGTTGGGACTTATAGAAATCTCAAGAAAAAAAAGTCTATAAAGTTTGGAAAAAAAATAGAGGGAAATGAATGGCTCTGTTTATGCTGATGGAAGAGTCTCTATCCTGGTAGCTTCCAAGAAACTTCATTCATTATTCTTGATGTTCACTCATTAAGAAACAATGTCTTGTCTCTCATGTTTGAGCTTCTTCGTGCTATGTACGACACAGAGGAGAATTTGTTTCTGATTCGTCCACCAACCACATTCTACCAAAACATGTAGACTGCTCATCTGTTTGTGAAATTTTCAGGATCCATATTTCATCAATTTATTTTACTTTACTAAGTAAAATTTTTGGCCCTGCTACCTCCCTGCCTGAGAGGGAGACAGATATTCTGTACTGCTGCATAAATATCCTAGTCATCTTGTTCAGGACACCATTAATGCAAATTTAAAAGTGTGCCTGGCATTTACCAGTTCACCTTCTGGTTCTATTCTCCAAAACTCAACTTTTGGGGATGCTTCTAGCCAGGAATATTCCTTTGAAAGTTTAATTATTTGTGTACGTTTGCCAAATTAGGAGATGATTTAATGAAGATATAAATTCATCTGCAGTAGTTCAGCATACTGGCCCTTCATAACACCTAAGATAAAGCGAAACTACTTTTCTGAAAAGCATCTCACACATCTTAAATAGACAGCCTGGGACCTAATCAGACAGCTGTGTAAATAAACCTTACTCCTGAGAAGAAGTCTGTCAGTCTGGAATGCATTTGTCTATAATCAACAGAAAACCCAACTACTGTTGCTTAATTACATAAGGGTTTATTCACATCATGCAACAGAACACCTGGGAGAAGGTAGTATAGAATTAATCATTACAGTAGCTTAACAATGCTAACAGAAATCCAGGGGCTTTCCATCTTGTCATACTTAGTATATAGGCCTTTGTCTTATGGTAATCATCTATCCCATGGCTGCAAGTTGGCTGCTTCAATTCTAGGCTTACTCCCATGCCAGTCAAGAAAACGGAAGAAGAGCAAAAGACCAAAGGAAAATACACCTCAGACTAGCCTTTTGAAAAATCTTCCTCTAAAGCTCAATCCCCCAATTGTTTTTAAATCATTGGCAATAACTGAGTCACATGACAGTCCTGTCTGCATGGACTATGGGAATGTGAATATCTTGACTAGAGTAGGGGAAGGTAAAGAAAAATGAGTGTGGAAATGGCTTTTTTAGTAGCCACTTATATTAGTTTTCTGTTGTTGCTATAACAAAGCACCACAAACGTACTGGCTTAAAACACAGATGTATTATCTTACAGTTCTCAAAGGGCTAAAATTAAGGTGTCAGCAGGGCTGCATTCCCTTTTAGAGGCTCTAAGGGAGAACTCATGTTATTTCCTTTTCTAGCCTCTAGAGGCTGCTTGCATTCCTTTGTTTGCAAACCCCCTTCCAACTTCAAAGTCATAATGGCCAGTTGAGTCTTTTTCACATCACATTCACTCAGATACTGACTCTTCTGCCTCGTGCTTCCATTTCTTATTAAGCGCTCTCATGATTACACTGGGCAAACTTGGATAATCTAGAGTAATCTCCTTATGTTTAGGTCAAATGTTTACTATCAACTTCATTTATGTTTATTATCAACTTTAATTTCATCTGCAACTTTAATTCCCCTTTGACACATAACATATTCATAGTTTCTGGGGATTAGGAAAAGAACATCTTTGGGGAGCCATTATTCTCCCTACCCCAGTTCACCCTCTAGCCTCCAAAGATTCACATCCATCCCACATAAAAAATACATTCA